TTCCTCCCGCTTCCGGTTTACCCTGCATCCTCCCCGGGAGACCACGAGGCCAGCACTATACAAATGGCATCTACACGCATCCCGGCAGAAGACGCCCTCCGGCACTCGGACCGTCAGATACGCATAGCTTCCCGCACCTGCAGCTTCATGAAACTGCTCACGGAGAAGATCAACTGGAGACTGGGCGACCTTCGACTCTACCTCCCCAAGACTGCCACTCGACAGCTAGCAGCCAAACGTAAGCACGAGGAAATGATGCTCCACGAGCCTCAGGAGAACACTCTGACTTACATTCGGCGGCGTCAGCTCGTCTTCATATCTCAGGCGATCAGAGACTACACAAATGATGGCCCAGGCCAAAACTCTTTTCAGCTCGAAGATGCGGAGAATACCGCACTTCGAATTTGGACGTACCTAACCCGCCACTTTGCCAAAGGAGAGATCAACTTTATGATAGACACCGCCTTGTCGCATCTCCACCTCCTGATGAAGTCGGCGACACCATGTCTGATGTCAAGCATGGAGCAGTCGCAGCCGTCCATGGCTCCGGGACAAGGTCAGAGTTATTTTCCCCCACATCTAGGCCTACCCGAAGACAAACACTTGGATCTCCAATACTTCGACCATCAGGCACTCAGGCGCGCGTCGACGATATACCGAGTACAGCAGCTTCTCAAGATATCTCACTCAACCCAGGGCGGAGAGTCGCCCGTCACCAATGGCTGGCGTTTCCAGCAACAAGCGCAACACCTCGACTCATTGCCCTATGACAAGCATCTCCAGGCCTTGCTGCCACACCTCCCGGACTACCAGGACCAACTCCGAGAGAACCTGGTGATGTACAGGCAATGGCTCCTACGAGACCTCACTGAAGAGGAGACGGCCTGGGCCCGTGACACACTTTTAGAGTCGGCAGTCTCGAGAGGAGAACTCCGCGAACTTTTCGAGCGTGCTCTCCTCAAGCAGGTAAACCATACACTTCAGGCCAGTGCTGAGTCTCCTCGCCGTGTTGATTCTACTCCGAACTTCCAAAATAGCATGGCTCTTCGCTTCTACCAAATCATCAATCCTTTACATGATGACGTCTACGAGGAGTACAAGCCGTTTGCGATCGTCTATAAGATGCTCACTCCCCCGAACCGCCAACGGGCTCGATCACTTCATCGTACTTTGTCGCACGAGAGGCACCAGTCCTTCCTTCGTCTTTTTGAACCCTAGCCTGCTAGCAACTTTGCTTGTGAGGTCCCCTCCTGCAAAGTAGAGCACCAGGTTAGCAACGTCTCTGTCCAACTAGGACACCAGCAGCCTTTTGCAAGCCAAGATAAAGCAGCGGAAAAGTCTCCATCTCCAACTGCAGCACAGTCCCTTCTCACTAAGATCACAGCCGCATTCTCCGGCAATGAGGTCTTTCTGCAGATAGTTGGAGCCTGCTGCAGAGCCAATGCCTCAGCCTTGGCTGATTCACCTAGTAACACATTCAAGTCTGCAGCTTTCTGCTTTCATTGAAGCTTGCCACAGCCGGGCTCAGCCTCTCCACACAGGCTGGCCACGTGAGGTCTCCATCCAGCTAGCAAACAAGCCATGCCTTCACCGTCTCGCGAGGTTCTGCTCGAGATTCTCCTGAAGTCGCTCCACGTCCCAATGACCATCTACCTACCCGACGGCATCAGTGAGCACATGGCCACATCAGCCTCAGCAACAACTCATCTTGCCCCGAGGAGGCTCCTCTTCACTACAGAAGACCTTGAACGCACGGCAGAACGAAGCATGCGAGTAGCATCACGTCTCTGCAGCTTCATATGTCACTTGGATCGGTACCTGGCTTGGCGCGAGGGCAGACACACAGCCCTGTCCCTAGAGGCTAGCCCACGTATCTTGGCAGGTAAGCGCAAGCACATTGACGACGAGCAGCCTTCGACGCACCTACCCCCGAGTATGGGGCCCCTCCAGCGCCAGCAAATCATGTACCTCACCCTCATGATCCACAACTACACAAAAGACGGCGAAGGCTCGCCGTCCTTGAGCACGTCTGAAGCTGATCAGGCTGGTGCTTTAACCTGGCACTATCTTACCGGGAAGCTCTCGCAATCAGAGCTGAATGCCATTCTGCTCCGCACTTTGGAGCAAGCCAAGGTCATTCTGAGGTCTGAATTCACTCCAGCACATCAACGGAACCTACTCCAGCTGCATCCCCAAACGACGGCGGAGACCTGGCAAGGCCAAGCATATTTCCCCCTAGGCCTCCGGCTTCAAGACCCACATCAGCTTGATCTTGAAGCATATGATTTCAGAACGCTCAAAAGAGCATCACTTCAGCTTCGCCTACTACAACAACTGCGGACTATTACGGCCTCCACACCTACATCGGCCAGCGACCAGATCCGAGATGGCTGGGATTTCCTTGAACAAGACCGTGATCTCTCAAAGCTTGACTACGAGGACTACCACACCAAATTGGTTTCAATGATCCCGCACTATCAGGAGACACTTCGAGAGATCCTGACACTGTATCGCCTATGGCTGTCCACCCCTCTGTCCGATGAGGACTTCCTTGGGTGCGAAACCTGGTAGTGAATCAGCTACTACCTAGAGACACTCTGCATCGCTACTTCGCTGACAGTCTCTGGCAACAAATACGACACAGATATGGAGGAGACCAAGGAGATTACGAGCAGGCACAAGGAGTCATCACAATTCTTTCCCCGCTCCACGACCAGGTCTATGATGACTATAAACTTTGCTGTGGCGCTGACACTGCTCCTCGTTCGACATCGTCAACGTCTGAAGCAGACGCTAGACGACAAAATTCGGGGCTAGAGACCGTCCGAGCACCACAGACTTCCAAACGAGTGAGGTCCCCTCCTGTTCGCTGCACTATCTTCCCAAATTGCGGGGAAAAAGCCTGTAGCTCCAATCTTTCCACGTCAAGCCTCACAGGCACAGCTCTTCTCGCAAAGTTTTTCCTCAGGTTCGCACGAGTGAGGTCCCCTCCTGGCGAACTTCCACCTAGGCCCATGGCAGACCTTCACCCCGTTCTCAGCCGTGAACAGGCAATGGAGGTACTTCTTGAGTCTCTCTTCCTACCGCTGCCGGTTTACCCTACAACTCCATCTGGTGCCGTCGCAGCAAGCAATCTGGACCTGGCATCCTCACGCACCCCTGCGGGAGAAGCGATCCCACACTTGAACCGCCAGATACGGATAGCCTCGCGCACCTGCAGTTTCTTGAAGCTGCTCGCGGAGAAAGTTCACCGGCGCATGGGAGACTTGCGGCTCTACCTTCCCAAAACTGCACCTCGAAACTTGGCCGCAAAACGGAAGCATGAAGAGATGATGCTGACAGAGCCTCGCTCTCCTACTCTGACGTACCATCAGAAGCGCCAGCTCCTCTTCATCTCTCAGGCGATTCGAGACTACACCAACGATGGCCCTGGCCAGAACTCCTTCCAGCTTGAAGATGCGGAACCTACCACCCAGCGCATCTGGACGTACCTGACGCGCCACTTCGGCCAAGGTGAGGTGCACTTTATGATTGCTAACGCCCTGTCGCATCTACACCTTCTCATGCGATCGTCAACTCCACGCCTACTCTCAGGCATTGAGCAGTCACAGCCATCGTACGCTCCAGGACAGGGCTCGGACTACTTCCCCGTCAATCTTCGTCTGCACGATGACAAGCAACTGGACCTTCAATACTTCGACCTGCAGGCGCTAAGGCGAGCCTCCACAGTATACCGGGTGCAGCAGCTGCTCAAAGTCTCTTCTTCCGCCGAAGGGGCATCGCCAGTTAAGAATGGATGGCGCTTTCAACATCAGGACCATCACCTCAATGGTTTGTCCTACGACCAACATCTCCTGGCTCTGCTGCCTCATCTTACTCACTACCAGGACCAAATTCGCGAAGATTTGGTCACGTACAGGCAGTGGCTGCTTCGAGAAATCAATGCAGAGGAAGTTTCTTGGATTCAATCCTTGATCGCGGACACGGTTATCTCGCGAGGTGAACTACTGGAGCTCTTCGAGGATGCCCTGCTAAAGCAAGTCAACTCTGCATTTCAAGCTAATGCTGGCATTCCTAACCCTGAGGATCATTCTCAAGACTTCCAGAACAGCATGGCCCTCCGCTTCTATCAAATCATCAATCCGCTCTATGATGACATCTACGAAGAGCACAAGCCCTATGCAATAGTGTTCAAGATGCTCACCTCCTCTCATCGTGGACGGCTTCGGTCCCTCCTTCGAGCTCGAGAAGCTGTCATTCTGGCGTCCCCACATCGGACAACCAGCCTGGTTCCAGTATGCGAGTGAGGTCGCCTCCAGCAAACTGAACCATCAAATCCCTAAGTTCCTCTAGTCCGAATTCTGGACTTAATCACACCTCCAGACCACTGCTCGCACTGCAGAAGAAAGCCTCCATGCCTTATAATGCACAAGCGCCAGCCTGCTAAGCTGATGCCCCCCAGACTCGGCCTGCCTGCCAGCTTGCCTGCTGAGGTTGAAGACCAATCTCGCAGAGAAGTGTACAGAAGCGCAACCCGCCTGGCTACAATGGCCAGGACATCGAAACAGACCAGGTCCCGAACGAGTAGGTCACTTAATTTTCACCCTCGATGCCCGCCAAGGTGCGGGACATAACCCGCACATGCGTTCGAAATGAAATGAAATGAAATGCTGCCATGTCGTGACTTCTGAATGCCTTTTTTGGGGGGGAGTTTGGGTGACAATTGTCGAGGCGGTGACTTCGTGTCTTGTTCCAAGAATTCTGTTGATAGCATGGGCCGTTTGGGGCCTTGAACATGTACTGAAGCCTCTTTGGTTTAGGGCTTTAAGTTTTGGGGTTCAAAGAACAGCCAAAGCCTCTTGCAGAAGAAGCAAGGGTCGGTTTTTGCGGTTTGGTGAGTCAATATCGGTAGGAGGTTTGAGTAGTTGCTTTGCTATCGTTTGGGGTGAGCTCATACCGCGCGGAGTCCCCGAACCCCCCTTTACCCTGAAGCCCAACAGGACTTCTTTTACTTCATCAACTTCTTGTTCTCCATGCCGTTTATGTTCCTCATCGGTGCCCTGGGCAAGGGACTGGGACTGGGAGTGTTCTGGCCCTCTGACCCCTGAGCCCTAAAGCAAACACTCACAAGCTGACACACGTAGACGGGATGGCATAGGGGGTGACTGAGCATGTGCGTCTCCACACACTCCCTTCAACACGCGGGAGAGGAGGGTTTTCGATGCTGGACCGAGGCATGTCACTCCTGTTCAACATGCTGAGATGGGCGGCGCTCGCGCTGCGGCTTCAAGAAGCTGTCTCGGACTTGCTGTACTCCAAGCAGTTCTTCCCCTTCATGAGGTAGGAATGATCGTGATCATCGTAACTGCAGGGGGGTGGCGGGGTGTCCTCCCCAGGCTTGGGAAGTTTCGGGCTTCAGGTCAAAGCCGCCGGGGCGGTTGCAAGGTCCGGAGGGTCTGCTTCAATCCGACCTGAGGTGCCCATTCTGATCATGATTGCCACATACCGGTTCAACAAGCTGTTGACCAAGAGGCCAGAGAACTTTTTCGCACGAATCGCCCCCGCAAACCCGTGTCCGTCAAAAGAGAGCCGAACTTCTGAAGCCATCCAGCCCGAACCTGCTCCATCCTGGCGAAACCAGGCCATGAACCCCTGCATAACCACCATTGGCTACCTGACCCTCAAAGCTCCTAGCGACCTGGTGTTTGAAAACGAGCAGTGCCCGGTAGAGGCTCATGGTGCTCAGCTCAAAGCTCAACCGGGCCCGGGACGAGCGCGTGAAGATTGTCACGGCAGCTGGGTCAGGTTGGGCGTGCGGTTGGCAGGGGGGGGGGGTGACGGTGACTCTTGTGGGGTCTGCCGGAGTTGTTGGGCTCCCTTTTTTGGGGGGTGTGAGCTGTGAAGACACCGAGCGGAAGCGGATCCCACACGGCCTGTAAGGAAGTCTTGCACGCCATGCGCCTTTGCAAGATGTTGGGCTGGGAGCCCCAGATCGCCGAGATGGTGGAGACCCGGCGCGTGGTGGAGCTGCAGACGCTGAGGCGCCTCAAGTCGTGGCAGCTGGTCATCGGCCTCCTGCGTCTCGGTTCAGCAGCGGAGCTGCTTTTGCATTTGAGGGCAGATCTGGTGCCCCGGTGTGCCAAGAGTTGGATGCCCCTCAACTGTGCTTCCGGACCCTGCAGGGTACTGGCTTTCCGGGCTGAAGCTGCTAAACGAGTCTGGCCGGGTGTTGTGGGAGCCGAAGCCCACGAAACTCCGAAGCCCCAAACGCCAAAACTTTATGAAGCATGACGCCTCAACCCTGAATCCAGAACCCTCAACACTGAACCTGGTTTAACCCCGAAACCGTGCACACGGGCCCTTCTGTCTTGGCAAACCCTTAAAAGCCCTGCCCGAAACCCGTCAAAAGCCTAGGGGCCCTCAAGGACTGAACCGGAAGACGCTGGTAGCAGCGCTATGCGCAAAGCACTGGTATCTCCAGCGTTTTGCCTCTTTGTAGACTGTACAATATGTGAAAGGTTTTGGGTTTAGGGTTTGGAGGTAAAAGGTCGGCAGGAAGGTTATTCAAACTCCAAAAACCCAGGGCAACTTCGCTGTGCCCAGGTTTGGTGGCCCGACCACTGCCCTTCTGCAGCTGTTCACCTTCGGGGTACCCTGTTTCCATTTTAGGGTTCGGGGTTTCGGGGTTTCGGGGTTTCGGGGTTTCGGGGTTTCGGGGTTTCGGGGTTTCGGGGTTTCGGGGTTTCGGGGTTTCGGGGTTTCGGGGTTTCGGGGTTTCGGGGTTTCCGGAATTTCGGGGTTTCGGGCTTTCGGGGCTTAGGGTGTTGGGTTTAGGGGGTTTAGGGGTTTAGTGCTTCGAGTTCAGGGGTCTAGGGTCTGGAGCTCAAGGGTTTAGGGTAGGGCTTGATAGGTTTGCGTGCCAAGCGGGCAACGGAATGCTCGGCTTTGCCAAAGCGAGGTTGCGACTACCCGAACTAACCCTCAATCCTAAACCCCAAAGCCAGAAAGGCCCCAAATGAAAAGCCCCCCCTGGCATGCTTCATTCCCGAAAACACCCCAAACCCCCCAACCCGGAGGGTGAACCCTAAACCCTAAACCCTAATTCTCTGGCTTGCCTACCTTTAGGGTTGAGGGCTTTCTTTCCTGCAGAACGGGGGGGTGGGCTGAGGGTTAGGAGCTTTGGCAGTCCCCTTCCTGCAAAAAGAGGTTAAAGGCTTCCAGGTTTCGGATTTGGGGGTTAGTCGTTCGGGCTTGAGGTGTTGAAAATTGAGGTTCTAGTCGCTCATTATCCCTTTAATCTTAACTATGGCATGGGCCCGTGCAAGTGACATCTACTTGCCATATGACAACGAGCTTGTACGTGCCATGAGCCTCCAAGCATGCAGTCATGAGATAAGCCGAAAGCCAAACAAGTTTAGATTAGCGGTGTGGAGTGATTTTTGCGGCATGCTTTGCCTTCCGAAAGTTCGACCCTGTCTCTGAAGGAGCCTTCTTCTTCAATGGGCCCGCTTTGTAAGTCTAAGTCTACACAGTCTACACTCTTGCGTGCAGAGGCCTTCATCTTGCTGGGTGGGGACCTGACGGCGGGAATCGTGTTTTCCTCGCTGGCCATGTTTGACATCATCCAGATCCCGATCAACTTGTTCCTTGGCGCGAGTCATGGTCGAGTCCGTACTGTCTACACATTTTCAAAGGCCCACGGGCTCAAAGAGACTGCTTGTAGGGCGGGGAAGTTCGTTGATCTGGATTCAGCCCTACAGCCTAAACCCTAAACCCTCAACCCTCAACCCTCAACCCTCAACCCTCAACCCTCAACCCTAAACACTGAGAGCCTTAGACGAGCCACCCAAGGTTTCCGATCACGATCCAGTTCCTGACGCAGTCCTTCGTTGCCATGCGCCGCATCGAGCGCCTACTGACTGCCGAGGAGGGGGGGGTTTCGGCGCGGGTCTCCACCTGTTTAGGGCTTGAGTTTAGGGTTTAGGGTTTAGGGTTTAGGGTTTAGGGTTTAGGGTTTAGGGGTTTTGGGGCTGCTGCTTGGCCTTGGGTTTGGAGTTCTATTTTTTTTTGGTCTGGGTCGAGGGTTTCGGGTCACAAGCCCCCCAAATCCTTTCCATCCCCAGATGCGAAGAGGGTGTAGGGGTACACCGTGCAGCCCAAACCCAAGAGCCGGGGCAGGAGAAGGGCCGCGGTGTGCCGGGTAAGGACGTCCTCTACCTGCGCACGATCCTGGCTTTTGGGCTGAAACCTGCATTTCTGGGGGCTCTGAACCCTCAACCGCGTACCCCTTTTAAACCCCTTCCGGATGGGGGTTCGGAAGTTCGGACTTTGGCGTTTCATGTTTCTACAACTTTGCTTGCTTTGAGCCCAAGGGATTTACAGTTTCGGTTTGCTTAGGGCGTACATCTTCACAGGGAATTAGGCACCTTTCTTCTCTGGAGCCCTGTGAGGGGCGATGGGTTAACTCCCGAAAGAGAGAAGATCCTGAACCGCTGGAGCCCTCCTCTTCTCAGCAGCCGAAACCCTAAACCCTAAACCCCAAACCCTAAACCCCTAAACCCTAAACCCTAAACGCTAAACCATGCTAAACCCTAAGCCCTAAGCCCTAAACCCTAAACCCTAAACCCTAAACCCTAAACCCTAAACCCTAAACCCCAAACCCCAAACCCTAAACCCTAAACCCCAAACCCTAAGGAGTGTGGCCCAGCGATGTCGCCCGTAAAGCTGCAGAGCGCGAAGTTTCGCTGGGCCACACCTGCCCGTGTCGAGTCCGACGACGAAGACGGCTCGTTTACTAGTGGCACCGGGGAACCATGGCCAGCAATTATTGTTATTACTAGTATTAGTCTTGTTATTGCTAGTATTAGTATTGTTATTACTAGTATTAGCATTGTTATTGTTACTAGTTTTGTTCTTGTTCTTGTTCTTGTTGTTGTTCTTGTTCTCGTTCCCATTCTGAGTATTACTATTGTTCTAACATTGGCAAAGGGGGTTTAGCGGCGGTTCATTGCAGTTAACGCCCAACGAGAACGCTTCTTCTAACCTGGTTCAACTGTAAGGGTTTAGAGTGTTTAGGGTTCTAAAACCCTAAACCCTACAACCCTAAACTGCAAGGGTTTAGGGTTTAGGGTTTAGGTTTGGGGTTCTAAAGCCCTCAACCCTACAACCCGAAGCCCAGGCCGAGAGGGGCTCGCGGCGCTGCATCCCACGCTGGTCTCGGGCCCCGCGGCCCGGAGACGAGGCGCTGCTGTCCATGGCAGAGATGCCACGCAGCTGGGGAAGTTGGAGTGAAGGTAGGGTTTAGGGTTTAGGGTTTAGGGTTTAGGGTTTAGGGTTTAGGGGGTTTAGGGTTTAGGGTTTAGGGTTTAGGGTTTAGGGTTTAGGGTTTAGGGTTTAGGGTTTAGGGTTTAGGGTTTAGGGTTTAGGGTTTAGGGTTTAGGGTTTAGGGTTTAGGGTTTAGGGTTTAGGGTTTAGGGTTGCAGTTGGTGAGTGTAATGATTTATAGGGTCCTCGTAAAATTCTGCTTCCGGTGGGGTTGTGGGGTTGAGGGTTTAGGGTTTAGGGTTCAGGGGTTGCGGGTTTAGGGTTTAGGGTTTGGGTTGGCTTGGCCGGGGCGGAAGGCCTCGGAGTTTCTGCCCGATAGAGTTGCAGGGATAGAGACAGTCTAGGGCTATAGGGTTTAGGGTTTAGGGTTTAGGGTTTAGGGTTTAGGGTTCAGGTTTAGGGTTTAGTGGCAATCGTGCCAACTGCCCTCCAAAGCACCGTGCGTGTAAACTACACTAGTTGTTCCTTCTCCCTTATGGGCGTGTTGCTAGGATTCTCACCTGCTTGGGGGGGGAAGGGGGGCCATCACACTTTTCGGTTTGGAACAAAGATTTCGTGGGGAACACCGCTACAAAACCCAGGCCTTCGAATCTTCCTGCCATGGAAGTGCACCTGAAAGTGAACCTCCTGGAGGTTGCTCTGCTGGCTCAGTGACCCCAAACCCCTGAGTCTTTTGGGTTTTGGCTTGGGGTGGGCCGCTTCCCGATGAAGGAGCCTTCACCGTCTCTAGCCTATACCGCCAGGCCTTCAAAGTGAGTGGGGTCTGGAGTTGGATTGGTTTAGGGTTTAGGCCTTGATTGGGTGTTCTGGCCCCACCCTCCTTACACCCGAAACTTTGAACCCTAAACTCTTAAACGCACCGGAAGGTTCCAAGCGTAGTTTCATGGGCCTTGAATAGGGTCCCACCTTGTTGTAAAGGGTTCTGAAGTATGTGCCCTTTGGTCTCCCTTTCAAGGGCCCACACTAAGTAAACCCTAAACCCTAAACCTTAAACTCCAAACCCTAAACCCTAAATCCTAAACCCTAAACCTCTCTTACCTACACAATTTAAATCTTTGGGGAGTTATCGGGCACAAGGTCATATTTTTATTGGGCCCAAGGTCGTTCAGTCCAAAAACGACCTTGTGCCCAGTAAGCGTATGACCTTCGACCCCGAAGGTCTTATTTTATTGTTCACAAGGCAATATTTTTATTGGGCATAAGGTCGGGGAGTTATTGGGCACAAGGTCATACGTTTATTGGGCACAAGGTCGGGGAGTTACTGGGCGCAAGGTCGTATTTTTACTGGGCACAAAGTCGTTCGGTCCAAAACGACCATGTGCCCAGTAGAGATATGACCTTCGACTCTGCAGGTCCTATTCTTATTGGGCACAAGGTTATATTTGTATTGGGCACAAGGTGACATTCTTTATGGGGCACAAGGTCATCGTTTCAGGGCTTGAAGTTAACAACGGAGGGCCTATTTTTTTGGGTATTTTTTTTTTTTTTTGGGCCTTTTTTTTTTTTTTTTTTTGGTCGATTTTCTTGGTTTTTCCTAAGAAAACCACCATTCCCTCCATATTTTTAAAGGATTTGATGCATTTTCGTGGTTTTTGGTACGAAAAACAGTAATTCTGTTGATGGAGGAAATCTTGCACCGCTTTATACGGCCAAACAAAGTAGAGACCCCACGCCCCCTTTTTAATATTGATTGTTCTTCCTCGGAAGTGCCGCGGGTTCCAATGACAAAAATCTTGCACCACCTCGGTGTCCATCGTCGTCAATATTAAAAAGGGGGTGCGGGGTCATGCTCATGTGTCGTGTCACTTGTTATTCAATAGGTGGTGCAAGATTTCCTCCATCAACCGACAGGATCGTTTTGCTTAAATGACAGAAGCAGCCAGTGTATTTACTAGACATCACCAAATAGCCAGAGCCCCTCGTCAGGGGTGCCATTGGTGATCCTGCACTGCACCTTTTGTACAGTT